CCCTAGCGGCTCCTCCCTGGATGGATTGGCCAGAGGAGTGCAGACGTGGTGCCAGTCCCGGTGCCGCAGGGAGAGCACCCGTCTCACCCGGTCTCGGAAATCCACGGTGGCGCCGTGGTCCAGCAACCTCTCCAGGATCTCCAGGTGCCCTTCCAGCGAGGCGCGGTGCAGGGCCGTCCGGTGGAACTGGGGCAGGAGACGGCAAAGACGCAGGTGTCAAAAGGACGCCCAGCCAGCGCTGCTGCACCGCCCCGGGCAGCCAAGGCCACCAGCCCTCCCAAGGGCGACTCACGGGTCTCGCCCAGGGACCCGGCCGGCTCGGTGTTTGGGACGGGCCAGCAGGGCTCCGAAAGCCCTCTGCCCTGTTCCTGGGCGTGTCCAGGCTCAGCTGGGCCTGGCACTCTCTCCTGGGAAGAGGGGGTGCCCCAGCCCAGCCATCCAATGTCCATCTGGGGAAGGCTCAAGCCCCTGATATCTAGGTGCCAACAGACCCGAATTAACCCATGCACCGGCACAGGGCCCCCATCTCAAGGGCCCCCCCCGATCACCGGATTTGGGCGAGTGGTGTTGCGACCTGGCACACTGGGTCACAGCACCACTCAGGTTTGGACTCGACAGCCCTTCATCAAGGGGGGACTGGGCCAGACTGGGGGGCCCCCAGTTTCCGTGGTCCTCAGGGCCCCATCATTCTTGACTCCAGCCCTGGGTGCTATTGGGGGGCTGGGCACGCCAGAGCCCGGGCCAAGGGCTGCCAGGGGCAGGGCTGGCTGTGGGGTGGGGGGGCCTGGGCTGGACGCTGCCCGCTCGCTGGAGCCTGGCTGCGCAGGTTCACCGGGGGGGCGAGGGATGGGGGCCGTTACCTCGTCACAGGTGTCAGGGGAGCCCCCGTCCCCCAGGAACTTCTCAATGACCCGGATCTTGCCCTGCACAGCTGCCCTCAGGAACGCCTCCTCCTCCACGGGGCCCACCTGCGGGTGGATGGGACAGCAGCTCAAGGGGCCTGTGTGCCCCATGTGGGGAGCGCCACGAACCTGGCCCCAGAGCCCCCCTCCACAGGGGAGGACGCCAGCTCCATGGCCCTCGCCCCAGAGGTGCTCTGACCGGGAGGGGGCTGCTCTCTGGGGTGGCCATCATCTTGGTCAACAACAGGGATCCGCTGGCCCCCCAGCCAGGCTGGCTCAGACCCACATCCTCCCGGGTCCCCCCTTACGATCTCCTCCGGCTCCGGCTCGGGCTCCGGCGCCACCTTCTCCTCCCTGCGCTTCCGGCGCGTCTTGCGCAGCTCGAAGAGGTACTGGATGCCGCCCACGTGGATGATCTCCCGGCGCAGGTCCAGTGAGCTCTTCCGCTCCCGCCCCTGGCCCTGCGGAGACGGGCACAGCTGCGCTGCAGCCTCTGGGGAGAGCCCTGCCAGGGCACCGGACTCCTGGGTCCCTCCCCGGCAGCGCCCACTCCCCGGCTTTAAACAAGCAGGATGTGAGGTACCCCCAACCTGTCCCCGCCCTGACTCCCTAGTCCCCATCTGCCTGGCCCCAGTCCTGACCCCCAACCCTCCCCACAGACCCCCTGGTCCTGACCCCTGGTCCTGACCCCCAACTCTCCCCACAGACCCCCTGGTCCTGGCCCCTGGTCCTGACCCCCAACCCTCCCCACAGACCCCCCTGGT